TGACAAAAAGTTTGGCTTTTGGAAATTAATTGGGTCTTTATGTGTACAATATATATTATCAATAGTGTGTTTAATTTTGTTTGCTGGACGACAAGTTAGTTTCGAAGAATTCAAAAGGTCTTTGGCATTGTCCTAAATACGTTTTCGGAACAATTGTGGAGAAAAAATACATCAGATTTGAAATATTAAATTAAAGTGAATAGTTTTTTTTAATTTCTTTAATTTTTTGTTTTTTTACCCACACGGGTTCTAAAAATTTAGCTTAATTCGATTTTAATTCCAATATTATACCAAAATTTCCCTACAAACATGTTTATATATTTATTTATTTATTTAATGCAAAACCAGCAAGTCATTAATCAAATTTTATTATCGGTAATTGAGGTTTGCAATCTCTCACAAATGATAATGACTCAAACTCAACAACTTGACACAAGAATGTCATTGGCATATAGTATGAGTAAACACCAGCAGTTGTGGCAACAGAAAACTCATAAAAGGTAAAGTTAAGGGAAAATCAAAGGCTGTGTAACATTCTTTAATGGGAAAACTAAGAGAAAATATTTCTGCTAATTAAAAAAAAAACCTCCCTTGATTTTCAATATTTTTAAATAAAAATGTGTTTTTGTGTTAACCTAATTTAATGACAATCATTTGAATCTATGAAGTGATGCTAACTTTGTGAATTACATTGTGGCCAGCACCCTTGAGAAAATAGCAGTACATAGCAAGAGGGGGAAAAATAATACTCTCCCATTTTAGTGATCAAAGCTCGACCCGTAGAGCAAACGCCACTGAAAAATTAGATTTATTTACATTTATTCTATATTCAATTCTATAGTTTTTCTTCTATTATTCATTCTTTATTTACATTTTACAAGGCTATACCCATTTCCTATACATTTACTTCTCAAGTAACGTAAATCGATTGCAAATTACATAGTGGCCAGCACCCTTAAGAAAATAACAGAGTAACAAGAGGGAGAATAAAACTTCTCACATGATAACTTCAATTCTCTTCATGGTAAGTTGTCAAACCTCTCCCCACTGTGTGCTAGTTAGGCTATAACATACAATAACAACATAACATGAAACCGCAAAGGTAAACATGTTAAACCTGTAGTTGTGTGTAAATGTGTGTGTTGGTTTGTCTCTGTTACAACAAATGAATATCCCACTGTGAACAGAGTTGGATTTGTCCTTTTGTGCTTTTTGCCATGCATTCCTATTTTAATAACACACACTCTCTCTCTCGCACTCTGGCAAATACTCATTTGTCATTTGCCGGGTAATGGAGGTAAATTTGACACACACACTCAACTCCCAGAGGGAAGAAAATCAGCTGGGCTAGTTTGACCACTTCATTAAAGTAAGGAAAGGAGTAGAATAAAGTGGAGAGAGAAATGTATGGTCGTGTCGGCCGTCATATGTGTAAAAAAAACTATTCGGCTGTTGTATTTTATTTCAAATGGTAGGGAAGAAGAAGAAGAAGCAGCCAGCAAAAAAGCCGTACTAAATGAAAAACAATAACTCATGCGCAGAATTTAACAAAAGAAGAAAACTACAAAACAGAAGTAACAACAAACAAGCAAAACAATGTAAAAATACGAAAGAAAAACAAAATATCAGCCAAACAATAATCACTTGTGACGGACATAATCATACACACACTTGGGCAGAGATCAATGTTGCCAAATAAACTTGGTAAAGGTCACGATGATGATGAAGATATTGTTGTTGGTGTTGTTTTTGTTGGTATTGTGTATGGATGCTCTTTCGAATAATAACAAATAACAATATAGAAACAACAACCTATATCTAAAATACAAAAGAAAATCAAAGCTCTCATAAATTGGCCATACACTAAAGGACGGGGAGAGGCAAAGGAATCATAGCAAAACATCAGGTAGTAGAGGAACCAAAAACATTTGATTTTCAATGATATTTTGTTGTTGTTTTTCTGTCTTGTGGGTGGAATGTGTGTGTGCGTGTGCAGCCACAATATTAACGAACGATTTTTGTTTGATTCTCGAAAAAAGATAAAATGATGATTTATTGTTGTAAAATTGCTGGGTATTAGAAGATTTGTAACAGATTGCCAAAAGAAAGAATTCCACAATAAATACCTAGACAAAATTTTCGTAAGTCACTAGTTACAAGGCCGGCTATGGTGGAATTTTCGCTGGGATTTGACAGGTGGCCAAACTAAGGGCATATGGTCTAAATAGTGGCTGATGAAGCAAGTGCAAATACCGTGGTCCTTTAGAATATTTTCCGAAAGAATAAACTTTTTTTGATTATAGGTTACAAAAATCCTGTACGGGACGTGCATGATATATATTATTAAACAGCTTTTATAAGGAGTAAATCCTGCTGTTTTTATTTGACGGGCCGTTCATTGTAGGCCATGAAGCTGCTTTTATGAGGAGTTAGATCGACAGTTTGGGATATAACTATAAAGACCTCGGAAAATTCGATTTTGGCGGAACAATCACTCTGAGTGAGGACATATAAATAAATACCAAATCACAATATAATTTTTTTTTGTTCATCAATATCACTAGATTGCAAAATATTTCCAATGGTTTGAATGAAATCCAATTCCACTTTTTGGCATGGAATTCAGATTGAGGCCTCTCAATGAAGAAAAGACCACGTGAAAAACTTCACAGAAATTTCTTACTTTACTGGGATGTGAGTAAAAAATCATAGCAACCAGATCGGCCATACTTAAATTTCTTCGTTCGAATATAGACAGGGATTTTTGATTTTGTTGAGAAATTCTTCAGGCTCTGATAAAAATGTTTTCAGATTGCAAGTCCATAAAATTCTGAATTAAAGGCCGTCATGGTAACAAAAGGGATTCTATGAAGGGCTGGAGTACTCTTTCTAGTCTTCCATAAACAATGCATATATGCCCATCATGAAACACAATGACAAGCTATACAGGGTGAGATAAAAAAATGAAACCGTCACACGTTGCCCGAATGTTGATCTGCCGCTTGTTTGAGGTTATCGACACTTTGGCATGTTTTAGTGCCAACCTTGCTTTCCAAAATACTCCAGACACAATATTCCAACGGATTGGTATCCGGAGATATTGGTGGCCATTTTACGCTGGAAATGGAGCGAGGAACCACATGTTATAACCATTCTTGGGTGGCGCGTACTGAGTGCGATTGTGCTGAGTCCTGTTGGAATGTCCAGGATCTACCGGCCAAAATGTTCGCGTGACCAAGGCTTTAATACACCCTCCAGAATATTTACGCGATAATATTCGGCATTTATACTGATGCCACGGTCGATTAATATGAGCTTACGAGCCTGGACGGAGGTTGCCTATCCACAAGATAATGATTCGGATGGCTTTGTCTATAACACCCAAGCAGGTATTGCATTGTCATCATTTTGTGATGCTGTCGCACCGGTAAGACCTTCACCTCCTCATGTAGGTGATCGACAGGTGTCATGAGGAGGCACCCTGTTGCGGTTCTAAGGGCATTTTTCCACTGTTTAGCACTAACGTTGGCGGACCACACCGTAGCCGCATAGTCTACAAGTCTTTAAGGTTATTGCAGATATGTCAACTTTGAGCCACTATGACAAGCTATTATTCTGGCCGAGACCTGTCTTCAAATGCAGTGTTGAAATCTCTTACTTGGCCAGGTTAAATTATACGAAGGGCTGGACAAGTCCTACGAATCTTGCATGAAAAGTAATCTTCTGAATTCAAGAAAGTCATGCTACGAAATTGATATCTATGTTGGGCTGGACTTCTACTAGTCTTCCATAAAGAACAATGCAGATATGTCAAACTTGAACGACAAACTATAATTTGTATGGAAGTGTATGCCAGCCTTCTGGCAGAGACCTGTCTTCAAATAAACTATTGAGCCCTTCTATCTGAGCAGGTTTGTAGTGCGTTTTAGAGTTTTGAGTATTTTTTTAAGAATATTTGGGCCTATGCCCAGGATGGATGTTTGTTGTCCTCAGTCCGCAACATTTGGCCCAGTATTTTGCAGGCCTTGCCTGATATAATTTTTCATGGTTCTTCTCTGCATATATCATGGAACTTTTAACCCTAATGTTTATCAGCCTTTGGAACTTCATGGACCTTTATACCTGACGCTTTTCAACCTTTGGCTAGGGCAACTTCCCATTCAAGCTCCAAAAATATTTCACATTTTTCACACCAGCTAAATTAACCACCCTAATGTTGTTTGGTTGCCAAAAGAACAAATGAAAAATGTAAATAAAAAGAAAATCAAGAATGGGCAAAATTAAACAAAAAAAAAGGCGAATAGCAAAAAAGTTACTAGGCATTTAAAAAAAAAAAACAATAAAACAACAGAAATTGGCACAGCTTTTAAAAACAAAATATAAAAAAAAAGATTTGCCCACGGGTTTTGCGGAAATTTTCATGAAAACAGGCTCCCTAACAAAAACAACATCGTTGACATTTATGTTTTGGACATTTTTGCAAATATGCGGACACTAAACAAAATCAATTGCTTGCAAGTTTGGAAAGCAATTAGGCACGAGACTTTCATAGTTTTTTTAAATATTTTTAGTATTTTTTTTTCTCTTGCACTCTAGGTCTGGTCAAACAAAATAAATACACCACCACTCCACTTCACTCACCCAAATTGATAGTAAAAAAATCTTATGACATATCGTCTCGTTGCTGTTGTAGTTGTTTTTGTGTACAAACAGTTGAGGAGAAGAAAAAAAACAGCAACAACACAACCAAACCAGATATTCAGCTAGCCAAGAGCAGCAGCAGCACCAGCCAGTAATAATATAATAAAAAAATAAATAAATACAACACCTTGTCAATAACAACAACAATTCAAATACACAAGAAAAACAAACCAGCAACTACACCATATATACATTCTCAATAATACACAATCACAATGTATTTCTTTTTTTTTTCTTCTTTCGTTACGGGGGTTTGCATAGATTTTTCTACACCTTTTTTCTCATCATTTGCTTCTTACATTTTCATTTTTTTCACAATTGTCGAACAGATATTTTATTTCTTTATTTTTTGTAGGGGGAGGCCGTTAATTGTAATTTGTTTTTAAACCGTTTTTCGGGGAGATTTTCTCTCTATTTTCTTTTGTATAATCCGTCTACTTTTTTGCATTTAATAATTGCTATTCGTGTGATTTTTGTCTTGGACTGATTTTATGATTTTGCTCGGGTGCAGACAACGAAGCTTTTAAGGCGGCGACAGTGACGGCGGCTAATCAGGTGTGAAGCAATTGACGGCGATGCACTGTCAAATTTTGTCGGCGACGGCTAAATGTTTATCGTTCTCTTTTGAAGTTGCGTTTAAACAAGACAATTTGTTTGCAGAAATTTTCTAACATTGTTATTTATATTTTGTGTATAAAAATAAAAACAAAAGGTTATTTCATAGTTTTTTTTTTCGTTTCTAATCTCCTTACCATGTTACAATAAAAACGTACGAGAGTTCTCAGTTGATTACAATTTTTTTCTTAAGTCTGGACATTCCCCTTTGGATAAATATTATATTACTCTCTATTACAGGAAGCAATGTTTTCAAAAACGAAACTGAAAGCTTTGCAATATTTGTTTATAATAACAATATTTTCAGCTTTTTATATGAAGGCTTTGGTAAAAAGCAAGCTCTATAAGTGTTGAACATATACCATGGTAGAAGAATACAGGTAGTCGCATCGACACAGCTGCTGGAACTATGAACTGTCAAACTGATTTTGATATTGAAAATCGTGAATGAAAAATTATTGAAATATGTAAAAAATGTTGAAAAATACATATCATTACAACCTCCGAATAGCGTCGTATAAGAAATCATATAAAAATTGACTTATTTTTGACAAAACACTTTTTGACAAATACCGGTAGTCGCATCGACACAGCTGCTGGGACAATGAACTGTCGAACCGATTTTGGGATTGAAAATGTTAAATGGAAAATTATTGAAATTTGTGATTTTTTTTTTTAAATTCATGAATATAAAAATCGACTTATATTTGACAAAACATTTTTAAAATCGTAACACATTAATGTTCCCAAGCGTTGTTGAATCTACCTATATTCTTCTACCATGTTTTGCCGTCAAAACCCATAACTGAAATCCAATTTATTTGGTAATTCAGAATAGAACAAAAACTAATACGCAAGACATCGGTCAGAAAATAAGAGCTCTGTTCCAGAAACTTACATTCTTGCAGTTCTGGAACATCCGAAGACTTCTTTTCGAGAGTCATTCACACAATCTAAATAGAGGAAAATTATGACATAAAATTATATTAAACATTAAGTTGACAGAAGTTGGTTAACCCCAGAGAAAGAAACTGGAATCAGCTGAGAGCTCTGCAATATCTTCTTATTGTACCATCCACATCACCAAACTCAGTGATTTGCCGGGCGAGCCAGTTATCATTTGCCCGTGATTTGCATTCCACCACCGAGTTATCGCTCTACAGTGATTACCAGCAGCTACTCGAGTTACCATTTATCAGTGATTAGCCGAAAACAACAAAATTACAAATTTCTTCTTATTGTCATTAAATCAATAAACAATCTATAAAAATCGGGGTAAATATTTATTTATTTTGCCAATGCTAATGCCAGACAAATGGTATTTCAAAAAGAAATAAGAAAAACTTGTAGAAAAACACGAAAATAAAATCGCAACATTAAGAACGCATTCATTTCTGAAGTGTTGTTGTTGCTGTTGTTGTTGGTGATTCTTGTGAGAAAGAATGCACAAGTGAGAAATTGAATTCATACGGCTTGTCATTCTCAGCTGCTGGAAAAAGGAAGGAAATTGTTTCTAAAGAAAAACAAATTAACTTAATAATTAAATTTAATGCAAATTAATTTGTGAATGAAGTTATGAATTGAGAATGAAGAAATGAATGGCTTGAATTATTTTTACCGAAGAGAACAAGTAATAATCCAGTTGATAAAAGTAAAGCAAATCAAAGTCAAAGCCGGTCTGTAACAAAAAAAAATTGTATGCATTTCCCAACAAGAAAATTGTACGAGAAAGAAATAACAGCTGAAAGAATAATTTTTTGCATTGGGGAATTAATAATAATAATAATTAATTGGACCCAGTATCTCCCCATGTCGTCTCTAGTATAACCCCTCACCCCTCTATGTAATCCTAATGCAATTTATGACTTGTGCCTTTTTTTTCTTACAGGGGTTTCGTTTTATCATTTTGGTAATCCTTTCGTTTTTTGCGAAGTGGTGAACTCGGTGTTGTGCTGTGTGTGTGTGTTTGTCTGTGTTTTTTTGTGGAGTTGAATAACTCTACTACGGAGATTTATTTCGTTCGACTTACCGGAAACCAAGAACCGACACAAGGAGTATCGCAAATTTTTATTTGCACGCACAAAAACAAAACTATGCCCCGCGGTAAACGTCGTTCCAATCACGATATGGGCGATGATGATCGCCAAACTTCAAAAAGACAACGGAACACATATGCAACAGCGACGGCAACGGCACAAAACACAAGTAGCAGGTAAGTATTGTCACGCGGCTAGTGTAGTCGAAAGATATTTTTAAAAGGTTTTTTTTATGATTTTAGAGTATGTATTTCGCTCTTATTGTCAGCTAAATGATCGTGTTTCTTGCCACCTATTGGCTATGTGATCCTAGTGTCTAGAGGCTAACGAGAAAATCCATTTTAGAATAGGTTCTGGATCAACTGAAGACTATATCGGACAACTCAAAAGTTGTACATAAGCAAAGCTTAAATTGTATAAATTGTGGAGACAATTCGAATCCATTTTAAGCTTAATTCTGATTGCTTTTCAAACGGAATCACAATTCCGGGAAGCAACTTTTGGGGTTGTAATTCAAAATGACAACGTATTCCTTCTTCTGAAAAGGCCTAAGCTTTGTTTTGAACCTAGGCATTTTGGATCCAGAATGGGTTACTTAAAATACAATAAGGAACCTTTTTGTAAAACGTATTAAACTTCCAGTAGTTCGTACTTTAGAGCACCTTTCCTGAATTCCTCAAAAAAAAAAAAAAATATATATATATATAAGTACCCTTATATCGGCTTTTTAGCCTGACAAATTATTCCGCAGAAATATCACTAGAATACTGTTATGGGTATAAATATCAACATAAGACCAATAAAAAGGTAAAAAAATAAACCCTTTTTGAGGTTAGTTTTGGTTTTGGGTAAGATTTTTCTCAATGCTTCATTTTAGAGATTTGGAGTCAATGGAAAAGTTATTTGTAATCGAATTTCCCTATGGGTCACCAAACAGTTGAAACCTACAGAGGCGATATATATCAAGATAACGTTACAATTAAATTTCCTCATTCAATGAGTGAGTGTATCACAATTTTCACCACATTCTGTAATGCAAATGTATTCTATATTAGATCTTCTTTCCAGCCTGAGAATATATGTCCTAAACAAGTAAAAAAACTGTAAGCTCGGCTGGGCCGATCTTTGAATACCCTCCACCATTTGGAACGAATTTGGCAATTTTCAAAAAAAAAAAAACCAGTTAAAAATTCTGTTAAAATCTTAAAAATACCAAATGTAGCCTTCATATTAGGGTCTATACGACGACGTGGACCTGCATAACAACTTTTGCCATAAGCCATTACAATATTCAAATTCAAAATTAAAAAAAAAAATCGGTGTATAATGTAGCTCAAGTCATCAAATTTGGAGGTACTATATGGGGGCTATACGAAGACGTAGACCTGCACAGACAATTTTCTGTCTTAGGCTGTACTATCCATTACGAACTTTAAATACCAAATTTGAAACAATTCCGGTGAATAATGTCGCTAAAATCATCAAATTACCGAATATCGGGAGTTACGTTATATGGGGGCTATACGAAGACGTGGACCTACACAGACAATTTTCTGTCATAGGCTGTGCTGTGCATTACGTACTTCAAATATCAAATTTGAAACAATTCTGGTGAATAATGTCGCTAAAATCATCAAAGTACCGAATATCGGGAGTTACGTTATATGGGGGCTATACGAAGACGTGGACCTGCACAGACAATTTTTTGTCATAGGCTGTAGTATTCATTACGAACTTCAAATACCAAATTTGAAACAATTCCGATGAATAATGTCGCTAAAATCAACAAAATACTGAATATAGGGAGGTACATTTATATGAGGGCTATACGAAGACGTGGACTTGCATAAACAATTTTTTGTCATAGGCTGTACTATGCATTACGAACTTCCAATATCAAATTTGAAACATTTCCGGAGAAAATGTCGCTTACATCACCAAAATACCGAAAAAAGGGAGTACATTTATATGGGGGCTATACGAAAACGTAGACCTACACCGACAATTTTCTGTCTTAGGATGTACTATCCATTACGAACTTCAAATACCAAATTTGAAACATTTCCAGTGAATAATGTCGCTAAAGTCATCAAAATACCGAATATCGGGAGGTACCGTCATATGGGAGCTATACGAAGACGTGGACCTGGCAAGACAATTTTCTGCCTTAGAATGTACTATCCATTACGAACTTCAAATACCAAATTTGAAACATTTCCGGAGAAAAATGTCGCTTAAATCACCAAAATACCGAAAAAAAGGGGTACATTTATATGGGGGCTATACGATGACGTAGACCTACACCGACAATTTTCTGTCTTAAGATGTACTATCCATTACGAACTTCAAAGACCAAATTTGAAACATTTCCGGTGAATAATGACGCTAAAATACCGAAAAAAGGGATGTACCATTATAAGGGGGCTATACGAAGACGTGGACCTGCACAGACAATTTTCTGTCATAGGCTGTAGTATACATTATGAACTTCCAATACCAAATTTGAAACAATTCCGTTGAATAATGTGGCTAAAATAATCAAAATAATGAATATCGGGAGGTAAATTTATATGAGGGCTATACGAAGACGAAGACCTGCACAGACAATTTTCTGTCATAGGCTGTAGTATTCATTACGAACTTCAAACATCAAATTTGAAACAATTCCGGTAAATAATGTCGCTTAAGTCATCAAAATACCGAAAAAAGGAGGTACGATTATATTGGAGCTATACGAAGACATGGACCTGCACAGACAATGTTCTGTCTTAGGCTGTACTATCCATTACAAACTTTAAATACCAAATTTGAAAGAATTCCGATGAATAATGTCGCTAAAATCATCAAAATACCGAAAAAAGAGAGGTACCATTATATGGGGGCTATACGAAGACTTGGACCTGCACAGACAATTTTCTGTCTTAGGCTGTACTATCCATTACGAAATTCAAATACCAAATTTGAAACAATTCCGGTGAATAATGTAGCTAAAATCATCAAAATACCGAATATTGGGAGGTACCATTATATTGGGGCTATACGAAGACGTGGACCTGCACAGCCAATTTTCTGTCCTAGGCTGTAGTATCTATTAAGAACTTAAAATACCAAATTTGAAATATTTCCGGAGAAAAATGTCGCTTAAATCATCAAAATACCGAATATCGCGGGGAACCGTCATATGGGAGCCATACGAAGACGTGAACCTGCCCAGACAATTTTCTGCCTTAGGATGTACTATCCATTAGGAACTTCAAATACCAAATTTGAAACAATTCCGGTGAATAATATCGCCTAAATCACCAAAATACCGAAAAAAAGGGGTACATTTATATGGGGGCTATACGAAGACGTGGACTTACAGCGACTATTTTCTGTGTTAGGATGTACTATCCATTACGAACTTCAAATACCGAAATTGAAATAATTTCGGTGAATAATGTCGCTAAAATCATCAAAATACGGAAAAAAGGGGGGTGCCATTATATGTGGGCTTTACCAAAACATGGACCTACATGGCCCAATTTCAATACCAAAAGTCCTGCAGACATAATACACATTTGAGTAAAATGTGATCAACCTACTTCATCGCGTTCGGAAGCTAGAGTGATCCAGAGATGGACGAACATCGCTAAATTGAATGGTGGAGGGTATAAAAAGATTGGATTTTAATGTCTGTCTACTGCCAATGACAATAAAATTTTGATTTTTATCGTTAATGTTTACTAGCACATGTCTCAGCATCAGCTGCTGCTACTGCTACTGCTGCTGACTCAATGTAAACAAAAAACAATTTCTTTCCCAGCCAAAGAAAGCATCGTCATACCTATCTGCATTCGGTGGTGATGCGGAGGCAAGAGAGTACAAAATTTTCTATTGACCATGATATTCAAAAAGGCAAGAAACCTTTTGTTCTACTCATTAATTGGCAGTTGTTTAGATCTTTTAGTTGAGAGCGAGGGACATCAGCAGCAGCAGCAGAAAACTATTTTTAGAATATAAACACCAGACATCATAACAAATTCAAAAGACAACAGAGGAAGGAAATATAAATTAACAAAAAATTAGCAATAAAGAAAAAAATTATAATTTACAAGACAAAGTTTCAGCAAAAAAATAAGACTTTTTTTAAATTGCAACAGAATTTGGCTCATGGATCAGTAAATAATTTAAGGAATTTTTTCATTCGAATAATTTCAATTTTTTTCTTCCTAAATTTTCAGACGCCACATACGAGCAGAGGACACCTTCAGCCATAAAAGATGTTTAGCATGGTTTAGAGAGTACACAAATCCAGATGAGGACACATTAGGTTTGTTGGTTTGTCACTTTACTTGGCCTTTTATATTGAAATTATTTTTTTTTTGTCTATTTTCCCTCCAGGTCCTGATGGCATGGAAAAATTCTGTGAAGATATTGGCGTTGAACCTGAAAATGTTGTTATGCTGGTATTGGCGTACAAAATGGGTGCCACACAAATGGGCTTTTTTAGCCAATACGAATGGCTGAAGGGCCTCACCGAACTGGAGTGTGATTCAGCTGTTAAAATGCAATCAAAATTGGATTATTTGAAAAGTATATTGAATGATCCGAATGTATTCAAAAGTATATATCGTTATTCGTATGATTTCGCAAAGGTGAGTGGAAATCGGAGAATAACTACTGAAATGGGAAAATTAATTTTAAAAATATTTTAAGATTTCCTTTTGCCTGTAGGTAGGGATTACATAACAAAAGAATGACTCCTAAGAGATTATAAAAAACAAATGTGTACTTAAAACCCCAAAAAAATGCTTAAAAATTGTATCCACAATTTGAGGTTAATTTTGGTCTGTTTTCAATATGAAGCCATATTTCCTCGCGGTTTATAACAGCGGATATAACAGCCTTGTGAACTGGCATATGATATCTTGAAAAC